CATCTCCGCTACACTCATTCTATGGGTACATTCACATTTTAGAAATAAGGAATAAACTATGGATAAATCCAAGCAATATTTTCATAAATCCAAGCGAACTTCATGTAGGCCTTTGCGCCAGTTGGATCGGGGGATCGAATTGATTATAGAAACATGAGTTTAATTGGTCAGTGTATTAGTGAACAAAGGAAAAATATTATTTAGACCAGTGAATTTTTTGACTACCTAACATTCCACCCCATAGAGCAAAGCTGGACTCACAGTTGCCCTATAGTGTTGAATGTGGTAATATCAAAAAATCACCCACATAAGAAAATCTCATATTATATGGGGTTGATATTGATATTGATAAGTTTTATAAAAAAAATATAAATAAAAAACTATTAGGACACTTGGGTATATCTCTTAGTTTTGAGATATATGTAACATCTATGGGAAGTTTTCTATTTAGTGTGGAAACCTAATCTTATATATATAGGATGAAAGAGGAAAGAATATGTGTGCCCTATTTGGGTTACCATATGGGAAATGTGCCTTCTTTTGGAGAGATAGGCAGAGGGGCCTCCAGTGCATTAAAGGCAAGGCCTCCCCTTAGAGAGAAGAGAGCTTCATATAGAGAGAAATACCACAATGTGCCTCGTATAGATTGAAGAGGTTAGTTTCTTTTAGAGAAGCAAATCCCATAGAGAGTTTGGGTGGTTTCCCCTTTTAGTAAGAGAAATTTTCGGTTGATCTCAAATGTTTCTTTTTGGATAGCGATTTAGCTATGGAATAGAGATGGGTGTCTTTATGTGCAGTGGTTAGCTGTGGAATAAAGATGAGAAATCGATAGTGATGTCAGTAGGGAGAAAGGGTTTAAAAGGATTTGCTCGATTGCGTTTTGTCGAGAGTTAAAGAGATAACTCTATATCCCAACATCTATGATGTGACTTTCATTGGTATAGTGGATTTCAATTTGTCGTACTCATAGATGTAACCCTTTCGGGATGAACCCCATAAATCTTTGTGTTCATATGCCATGTATGTTTTATTTCTCGTATTATGACTCATACTTTTGCTTATTTTGTTTCTAGCTGGATAAGTACATAATCTTGGTGGAATCCAACTTTTGGGATTCCTATTTTCGTATCCAAGAGGATTCTTAAATCCTAACACTATAGAACTTACCATTCAGCTTTATTGGTATGCGATAATCACATAAAATTTCGATTGTACATTTCCACTTCGTCCACCCAGTTCTAATTTTGTATGTGATATCTTCTTCAATCTCTTCCTTTTCCTGGATTATTGATCCAAGATATCGAAAGTGCGGTCTTTGTCATATTTCTTGGCTTTCAATCTTTTAACTACTTCCTCATCTTTGCTTGTATCCTTACTAAACTTGCATTCTGTATACTCTGTCTTATTCCGACTAATTTTAAAAAAATTATATTCTGGAGTATCCCTCCAAAGTTCTTTGTTTTGGGTTTCATCGATCAAAACTATGTCATCTACGAACAACAATGCATTATGGTACCTCACCTTGTAGGTGCCTGGTTAAGTCATCCATAACTAAGACAAAGAGGTTTAGGTTCAATGCTGATCCTTGATGTCGACCTATTGTGACTAAAAAACGCACTCGTCTCTCCACTAGTTGTTTGTACAATAGTTAACGCTCAATCGTACATATCTTTCACCAAGATGATGTAGTGTTTAGAAACTCATTTTTTTTCCAACACCCACCAAATCAAATATTGAGGTAATATATCATAAGCTTTATCGATATCAATAAATACCATGTGGAGGTCTTTTACCATCGCCCTAAGCTTCTCAATCAGTTGCCTAAGCAAGAAAATAGCTTCAGTTGTTGACCTCTCTAGCATAAAATCAAATTATTTTTCAGATACACTCATTTTATGCCTTAGTCGTTGCTCAATCACTCTCTCCCAAAGCTTTATAGTATGGCTCATAAGCTTGATCTCTCGATAGTTCACACAATCCTGAAGTCTCCTTTGTTCTTATAAATAAGTAACACAATATTTTTCATCCATTCGTCTGATATTTTCTTTGTTCTCAACACCTTGTTGAACAGCTTCGTTAGCAAGTCAATGCCAATCTTTCCTGCGTACTTTCAAACCTCTAACGTGATACATTTGGTCCTAAAACCAAGGATACGCACCCTTCCACCATGTGTACGGACTTTCCCTTTAAGTGGATCTCAAAATTTCATAAGAGAATATCCTTCTAAATAGGCAAAATAATAAATGACCTTGAAATTTTGTGGAATGATAGGTTGCAATTAACTTATTAATAGTAGCTTAAACAAATTATATTGTAACTAGAGAAGGTTTCCAGCAGATCATTAATGAGTTATGAATGTTAGAGGGGAGGGGTTCACCAAGTCAAGAAAGAAGGCTCATAAGTCTATCCCCGGGGATGGTGGGAAAGAGTGGGAACTGGGAAGGGCCCACATACATTGACTCAATTCAAAAGCACCTTTCTTCCTACAGCGGTCATGTTACGTTCTAACTTCATTTCTTGCAGACTTGTTCAAGGGGCCAAATAAATGCCTTCCCCTTTTGCAGTCTACTCCCCCAAGGATGGATACTAAGAAGTTCACTTGCTTCAACTTCTTTACCGTTACGACTGGGTCACAAGTTTAGGGACAACTATCTCTAATAAATTCATTTTATTTTTATTTTATCATGGTAATTTTACGTTTGAAATTCCTCTAGAAGAGAGTGCTCATCTCAACCTCAAGATACGAAAAAAAAACCAAGGGATTGTAACAATGAGACCATTTATCTTTTTTACAAATAGGTCATTATCACTCTTAATTAGATGTCAAATTGGATGGCTTTGGCTAGTCCCAGTAGTTCGAGAAATTATTTTTTGAACTTTGAGTCTTTTTTAATGACACTCTTACAACTATCCAATTCGAGATCCAAGGGACAAGAGTGATTGTGACTTCTTTGTATAAAAAATAAATTCTCTTCGTATACTAATCTAAAAACTAATTTCCAAGTCCTAAAAATAGTGCCTTGTGAAAATTTTTCGATGTGATTTTTTCATTTTTATCTTCTGGTTCTTTTGAACTAGTTCATTGTTTGTTGGACCCAGTTTCTATTCGGCCAAGCCCGCACATGTAGAAATGTGGGCCTCTTAATAAAGCCTTTTTTGAGATGGATTTTAGGATTTAAATTTTAAGGACAGGTAATCTCTAACATAGAGATCATGAATATGAAAAAATAAATAAATTTTAAAAACTAGAAATAACAATTCTAGTAAGAAAACATTGAAATGCGGTCCAGCCTGTATGAAACAATTTTCCTTGTTTTAAAGAGGCTAACTCTAGGGTGGACGCTCTTGTGAAGGTTGGTGTAAGTGTAAACCAACAATTGTTGGTAGTTACATCTTTCATCTAAATTATACTTTTGTAGCATTCTTGGGAGTTTGAGAATTCTAAATTATACTTTTGTTGTATTCTTCCAATTTGGCGTTTAAGAATTCAGCGGTTAAAATTCAAAAAACAGAAAGGAAAAAACAAGTGCTTTGTAACGAATTAACTGGACAATCTATTTTCAAGATTTAAGTGTTTCTATATGTATAAAAATTTTGCATTGCTAAAGGAAGGGCGATGGTTTGCGGAGACCCACATCCTGCCTCTCTCCATGTATATAAATGGGACAACCTTCTACCATTTTTTATATCCAACACTCTCCTTTGCTGACCATTACACACTCTCTCCCTCTACTCGGTGGGTGCAATCGATCAGTACAGTAGAGGACTAAGCTGAGAAACAAAGGCAGCAAAAGAAAACAAATGGAGTTCCATTGTCCATTGGTGGTAAGATTATGGTGGTCTTTTGTGTTGCTGAGTGTTGTTGCTATGTTATGTTGTGCTTCCGGGACCACTGTGCATGTGGTGGGGTACAGCGCCCGGTGGGACGTGCCGCAAAATGGTAACACCTCTTTCTATCAAGAATGGGCAAATAGCCGCAGCTTTTGCGTAGGCGACATTCTAAGTAAGTCACCCCTTTCTCTTTTTTCGCTTTTTTTTTATTTGCTCTTCTTATGACAGCTTAGATACAGACAGAGAGTCATGCATATATGCGGTGCAAATAGATTATTAGCGATGCCAACTTTAAAATTGGTTTTTCAGATATGACACGTTTATCCATTATTTAGATAAAAAATTTGAAGTGACTTTAGAAGAACTATTATAATGAGATTTAAACAAAACGGGAAACAAGAAGAAAGCTATGACACGCCTAAAACCAATGACACCACATAGGTATAGGCTCTAAATAAATGAGTGCTGATACGTGGTGTCTTTATTTGCAGGCTTCAACTTCACAACAGGACACGATGTGGCTCAGGTGCGGAAGGCAGAGTATGATGCATGCACAGCCAAGAACCCCATTAGCCCTGTCTTAGGTAATGGCCCCGTCGATGTCAATCTCACTGCCTCAGGGGAGCACTACTTCCTCTGCAGTATAGGCCGCCATTGCAGCTTGGGTCAGCACGTGTCCATATCCGTGTCCCCTGCGCCTGGCGAAGGCCCCATGATAGCTCCCCCAACTCCCCCACCGAGTTCCCCAGCATCAACACATTCCTTTTCAGAAGCTAGAGTCTTTGCCTTTATACTGCTCTCTTTTCTCGTTTACCTCTCAACTTAGTTAACTTACAAATGGCCATCATAATATATCATTGAGAGGCGATGTTTCCCCTTATTTGGATCCCCAGTTTGTGCATGAGGTTGTAATGTGTGCGTTGAGAGAGGCGATTTTCCCCTTTGTTTTTTCCTATGTATTGAGGCTCTGGTGTTTGTGCTTGAGGCTCTAATGTCTGCGATGTTTTGAGAGAGTGAAATCTTCCTTTTTGTTTCTTGTATTGAAATCTTGCTAATTTGTGCGACACTTTCATTAGCTTTCTATTTCTAGTGCTGATAAAGTGCAGTTCGTTCTATCGTTGCTCATATAGGCGACCCAGATTCGATGTGGCCAAGCCCACATATGTAGAAATGCCGGCCTCTTAATAAATATATTTTTGAAATGGATTTTAAGATTTAATTATGAAGGATATGTAATCTCAAACATGGAGATCATGAATATAAATAAATAAATAAATTTTAAAAACTAGAAATAATAATTCTAATATGAAAACATTTAGACCGTTAGTTTCTATCGGTTTTAGATAGAATATCTACTTGCATCCATGGATTATAGTCTTTAGATAGAATACCTACTTGCATCCATGGATGCTTTACACCGCATATGTAGAAATGAGATCCAGCCCACATGAAACGATTTTCCTTATTATTATATATATATTGATCCAAGGTGCAACTAAGAAGTGACTCCAAAGGATACATATGTCATAATGACGCAACAAAAAAGTTAAAAGAAAGTAGAGAAATTTTAAGCTCTAGCTGCATTGGTGCTCATGCAACAAACGAGTTAAAAGGAAGTGGAGAAACTTTAAGCTCTAGCTGCATTGGTGCTCAAGCTCTAAAGAGAGCTTTACATCCATTGCTGAAACAAGTGCTATACAAGCCCTAGCCCTGGCCGCTGCTCAACCACCATCATCTAAGCTCCTTCTTTATCAGCCCCTCTTTAGCCTTTCTCATTCTCTTGGCCCCTCTCTCTATCGGCTTGCTCTCTTCTTTAAAGAGAGGCCGAACTCCCTAACGCCACCCCTCCTCCTCCCCCCTAAAATAAATCTCCCTAATTTTCCCTCTCGTCTCTCCCCTCCACCCCCTGCAGTCCCCCACAGTTGCTTTTGACTATATTCCTTCTTCCTAATAAAAAAAAACGTTAATGGCTAAGATGGGTTTCGCATCCTGTCACGGGTTTTCTTGGGCCTTTGGGGTTTCTCTGCTATATTTGGCTACTTTAGATTAACGCCTAAAATGCTGCTCAACCTACCAGTGGGTTTCAATGAGCCATGTTGTGGAGTTTCATGTTCCCTTTTAGGGGTTTGAACTCCTTTATGAGTTGGGTTTTTGGTGGCGGTCATTACTTCCACCACTTGTTTAAAACTCTGTTTTTCAATTGCTCATATAGTTTTTCTTTTGGACACTGTCTGAAAGAAGGTTGTATGCGCTTGTGAGGTGGTTTGTGAGAGGCAGAGGAGGTGGATGACTTTGGAGGTTGCTTTGTGTGGCTCAATAGAGGTTCTTCAGCAGTTGCCGGAGGTTAGGATTCATGCTATGTTTAGTAGTTAAGGTTGGTCATTCACGAAAGTAAGGGTACACTTTTGGTGGCCCCAGGAGCCATGTTTTAAAGCTGATTTCTCTTCTCCTTTTTCATTACTCTTTTCTCCTCAATGCCTGAGAAATAGGAATCACAAAGTCCTAGAATATTCGATGTCGGAAGTTCTTACAATGTTGATTCAAATTCTTGTTTTAATGAGCCTACAAGCAGTACTAAAGATATTAAAAGGACTAATTATTTTGATCACCTGAAGCAAGTAGTTGGATGGAAGCATAATATGTTGCTCTATATCATACTTCAAAAGAAAAATATTCTTGAGGTACTTTTTTAGTGAAATAGCGTTAGCCGAGTTTGAGCATATGTCTACAGTAATCTATTGTGATAATCAAGTGGAAATAGACATTTCTAAACACTCTGTGTGTATAAGAAAGTCAAAAGCATATTAAAAAAAATGTCACCCTGTAAGAGAATATATGGAAAACAAGGAGATCCACCTTCTACTAAACTACTGTGATGGTTCATCATGACAACGGGATTAGTGGTGGATTGCTGCCTTAGTGGCATAATGGAGCTTTGGTGGTCATTCCGAGAATCTTTTAGACAGTATGATTTTGTAAAGAACCTTCATGGGTGCACTAGCCTTTGTGAAATAATGGCCATCTGATATTACCCCCTTTAATTGCCACCTTTAATTGCACTAATGTCTATGTGGCATATTATGTGATTACTCACTTTTGTGGCATTTCAAAGTATCTCTTGGTGAGATGTATCTCTTTGTGAGATCATGACAACTCACTGCGCCAATGTAGATTCACTCTTTAATAATAGGCGCATGTACGGGGGCAGTAACATGTGTTGTCTAGAGTTGTTTGTTGATGGATACATAATGAGGGAGTTTGTTGGTCCAAAAGAATGTGTATGAAGTTCATGAGGTGGTTTATGGTCACGCAACACGTCATAATAAGCAATGAGCATGAGAAAGTGCATTTTTAATGTCATTGAGTGGATTGATTGTATATATGGATGGACTTTGGATTTCATGAAGATTTATAGCTCGAGTGATCATGATATAACTTGATAAATTAATGAGTGAATGATTTATAAATGTCGAAACAATGGGAGAATGTTGGCCTGGGGTTTTTTTCCTTGGTTTTAGCAATAAAAAGATTCATCATTCCTTGCCAAAATTAACATTTCCCAAAGAACAAAAATACTCCCGCCTTGCATATCCTCTTTAGGACAAGTCCAACCCCACTTCCCAAAATTCACGTATTAGAACAAGGAGGTCTACAAAGAAGCGTGGGTTGGAGAAGGGGGTTATGGTGTACTTCTCCCCCTCTCTCCACCTATGAGAACAAGGAGGTCTACAAAGAAACCGGTTCAGATGGGGTACTGGAGGGGGGGGTCCGGTTTTGCCAAAATATAATAAAGGGCCAATTCTATATCAGAACTGACCGGTTTTGTTAGAGAACTGGTTCCCTTTTTTTAAAAATATTTTTTAATTTTTTGTTTTCTATTTTTTTTTTTATTGTATATTGGCTGGTTCACTCGGCCAGATCGCCGATCCACAACGCCGATATGTTGATCTAGACTGGCTTTCCAAAGGGGCAATTTGGGTCACCGGTCTGTGTTTTTAAACCTTGGATGCACCCAAGCCCTGAATGGGACATCCCGGTACAAGGAGTACAATCACTCTCACACTCTACCCTGTCACCATTCTCTCACTTTGTACCTTGTAGGATGTTGCTAGAATTGACCATTTCATCGGCAAAGTTATTGGCTGTTTATTATATGCCTCCATTTCCAAGGACAAGTTGTCACACACGGTGAGCACATTCCATACTTATAATTTTATGAAAAAATAACAAAAGGAGGACGTATAGATTGGATCAGACTTGTGAGGTTTTGAGAGCCTTTTAGATCCTCGATACATGTTCAATTCGATGAGAACTGCACTTGTAGCCACCTTACGGTTGCTCTGGAAAAAGGAAGGAAAGGAACAATCAAATGCTTAATAGTGGGAGATGGAAATAATGGCCACTATCATATTTATGGGTACTCTCGAGGAAGGAAGTATGGCATGTTAGCTCAACGAATGTCATGTCCCATTGGAAAAATAAAAAAAATCATGAAGTCAAAATCCTCCAAGAAGGGAAAGATAGAGCACTTTGGGCTCCACCGCCGGAAAGATTTTTGAAACTTCAATTTTGATGGGAGTTCATATGGTAATATTGTCCGGGTTAGATTGGGAGCAGTCAAGGATGGGATCACTTGACTGGATATGCAATAATCTACTCAGGCCCATGCTCCCAATATACGGCAAATGATGCAGCCACCGAATTACTACCTTAAGATCCTCAGCTTACAGTCCAAAGTGTTATCCTAGAGGGTGACTGTTATTGTGTAAAGGGCAGATTATGGCATCTCTTCCCAATACTAGACCAAATCAAGGATATCACCAAAGACCTGGATATCCATTTTGTTCATATTTTTAGACCGAGAAAACAAAAGCAGATGCCTTGGCGAAGGAGTTTCTAAAGCTTGTCTGGTGCTCAATAAATTTTGTTTTTTCTCTTGTGCGGACACTATTGACCGTTTTTTATAGCTCAGCATGCATGAACATCAATTTGAAAAGTATCAATTTAACAAAAAAAAAAAAAGCAAGAGGATGAAGAAAAAGAACTAACCCGGACACATTCTTTTCAAATACCCTTTGATAATTGTTGGTGGGGTGATGTGACATGGCTAAGCTGTTTATATTTCTTCTGCTGTATAAAATTTATTTACTTCATCCAACAGTCCATTCTCAATGGATGGCTGAGAATTTGAGATGACGTCAATCACAATGTCACCACCTCTATACTATTTTATTTTTAATTTTTTTCTGAAAGATATTGTGACTCCAAATTTTGGGTTTCTAGTCTTCTCTTAAACTCCTAAAAATATAAAACTATTGTTCTCAATAGTATTTTACCAAAAATATTTTATTTTTTAACATAGGTATGCCCTCATTAAGATGATGGCAAGAACTAAAGTTCATATTAATATAATTTTTATATAAAAAAATTAAAAATAAAATGCTCTGAAACGTGGGCTCTAAATCAAACTAAACGATCAATATATAATTTCTATGCACCAAGGGAAGTATAAAAACCTTGCCCATTTGATGCTGAACGTAGTTCAAAGAAAATGTGCAAGTGGGTTACAAACGACCCAAGACCAAAACATGTGGCTCGTAGGGCTCTGCCCGAGGGCCCCAAACCAACCCTGTTTCTTGTCTGGCTGGAATCGTGCCAAACCGTCCATGACTTGATAATGGAAGGACCGGGCCGCTGGGACAGGGCGGGCTCATGGTGCAAGGCTTAGAATAGAGCAGCAGCTGTCTGGAAGAAGCTTCCAACCGTGCCGGTGGGCTTATACTTTCTTCATGGAAATCTTCTATCACCCCCACCCCCACCCCCTTCCCACCATAATTTCACGTCATTTTACTTTTGCCTTTATCTACATCCTGGAGACCACTACATCCTACTACCAATGGAAACAACACCAAATGGAAAAAATATTTATATATAAATATACCAATGTTTTTAGGACTGCACGGGGCCACTCAATTAGTAAATGGTTGGTTCAATCAAAACCAGCTTACTACTTGTTGGACTGGATTTTTTTAAAAAAATAAAAAATAAAAATAATAGTTTAAAATATAAATATATTATAAAAGAAAATACCCTATTTTATGTAACCATTCGGACCAGTTAAAATCAAGTAGTTTGATTGGCCAAAACTAATCGAGTGTTGGATCTGACTGATTTTCGATTGATCTCAATTTTTACTTTAGACCGGACTGGCCACAATACCTATAGTAATATTGGTTAGATGGGAAAGTCTAGTCCAATCTTGACAGTTATGCTACATGTAGAACTTGCTTCATCCACATTGATGAAGCAGTTATGCTACAAGTAGAACTTGCTTCATCCACGTTGATGAAGCAAGGTGTTTCGTTAGGGAAAGAACAAATAGAAATATATCGCACGTTTTGTAAGTATGAAACAAAATATTTTCATGTGAAAATTATGTTATGCACGTTTGGTACACGACAAATGCATACAAAAATTTATTCCATATTAAAAAACTGTACCACAAATTGGACCAATTCATGTAAAAATAGAACGATATCTCTTTTTTGGGGGGGGGGGGGCGGGTTAGTATTTTCGCTGGTATATTTTCATTTATCAAAGTCACCAACTTTATCACATATAATTAATTCCACAAAAATGCCTACATGAATTAGAGAGAGAAACTATCTCAAATTTTAAGTTTATACACAGATAAAAGTATTCTAAAATTTTAGAGAAAAACTATATCTAATTTTAGAGAGAAACTACTTTAATTTTTTTGAAGATAAACTATCTCAAAAATTTTAGAAAGAGAAATTACCTCTAATTTTAAGTTTTAAATAGTGAAAATATCTTAAAATTTTAGATAGAGAAACTATATCAATTTTTTTGGGTGAGTTAGTGGGGAGAGGGCCCCTATAGAGAAACTACCTAAAAAGTTTTAGAGAGAAAAGTTTTATTAAATTTTAGAGAGAGAAACTATAGCAAATTTTGGAGAGAAAAGCTAGTTGAAATTTTTTATAGAGAGAAACTATCTCAAAATTTATAGAATCGAAGAGAAAAATTATCTCGAATTTTAAGTTCTAGAGAGAGAATCTTAAAATTTTAGAGATCAAACTTTAGATAAGGAAACTACCTGAAAATTTTAGAGAGTGAAACTATCTAAAAACTTGTTTTAAAAAGAGAAACTGTATCAAAAATTTTAGAGAAAGAAACTATATTAAATTTAAATTTTAGAGAGAGAAATTGTTTCAAAAATTATAGAGAGAGAAACTTACGAAATATAAGAAAAACCATGCTTGAATATTTTTTCCCATAAATTATTTGTATATATAAATATTTTACATTTTATGTCAAACTAATAAAATAAAAGAACCAATCTTAGATTGAGAAATTGATTTGGTTTAAGTCATTGAATGACGAAATGTCATGCAGCACCAATTAAATTGGACGCGTTCCATTGCCATTGGAAAGAAAATTCCTCCTCCTCCTCCCCCCAGAGGGACTTTCCTGGATACTTTATTTACTTGCCATGTGTTTGTTTGTTTGTTTGATTGTTTCTAGAGAGAAGAGAGAGAAAGGGTGGTGAAACTCATTGTGGTTTGGTTTGGTTTGTCGTAGGCGATGTTTTCAACGTTTGATTTTTTGGTGGTCGCAAGAAAGAAAACTAAACTACTTTTCGTCGTTCGCCGAGATGTGGCTTGCAAACGTCTGGTCCCACACGCCTTCAAGCCGCCCCAACCTTGCGGAATTGGAATTCTCTCTCTCTCTCTCTCTCTATATATGTAATACAAGTATTATATATATATATATACTTGTGCTCACCACACATCCCACCACCATATCTCCTTGTGCGACTATACTACTTCATCTCTTTCTCTTTCTTTCTTTTTCTCTCTGCACAATCTCTCTCTGCCTCTTCTTCTGCAGAAGCAATCAATAGAACAGGGACAACCTGGGAATCACACGATCAATGGAGGGCTCATCGTTGAGAATGTTTTTGGGTGGTGTTGCTGCTCTGCTGATGTGCACGGTGTGCATGGCCACGGACCACACTGTGGGCGGGAGCACAGGTTGGCAGGTACCCGACGACTCCTCCTTCTATGAAAAATGGGCAACTGAGAACACCTTCTCAGTCGGTGATAAGCTGAGTAAGCACCCAATTCTGCCCCCTTCTTTTTTATTTTTTCAGTAAAGCCACCATCGTCATGCTAAACATAAAATGAAGGTTTTTCAATTCCATTGAATAATTCTCTCAAAGGAATCTCTCAACTGAAAGAGTATAGATGCATTTGTGGTTGGTTCTTTTATTTCCAGTCTTCGACTTCCGGACAGGATCGCACAACGTGATCCAAGTAGAGAAGGCAGGGTATGAATCATGCTCTTCAACCGCCCCTATTCGCAGTTTCACTGAAGGGCCGGCCACCGTGACTCTCGAAGCCGGGATACACTACTTCCTCTGCGGTGTAGGCACCCATTGCAACAGCGGTCAGAAGGTGACCATCTCCGTAAGTGCAGGCACCCCGAGCCCCACATCTCCTACACCAAACTCCTCACCTCCTCCTCCACCAAGCAACTCGGCCTCACCCCTTACCTTTGCAGGAACAGCAACCATCCTTTTGGCCACACTCGTCTCTTCTTACCTCTATGTGTGAGAACATTGAAACACAAATGATGGCATCCCAATAAATTATTGTTGTTGAGACTCGATATTCTTGTATTTTTCTTTTCATATATTCATAAATTGAGGATCATGAGTTTCGAGGTATTCATTTTAATTAGCGTGATAGGTGTATTGGACTTGTATCAGTATTTTAATTTGTCAATGAACAGAAGTTTCTAGTATTTGATGTTGTTACAGAGCTCTCTAGCTTTTGTCGTTGCTCCTGAAGAACTCATAAACAACAGTGAACTTCAAAAATCTGCATTATCACACAGCACGATGAACCCAGTGACATTTATTTATAGAGGACAACATAAAGGCTCCTAATACACTAGGAAAACTATTAGGCACCTAATGCACTGATAAATCCCTTGCAAAGAATAAATTAATGATGGGATGACAGATCAAATGGCATGAGGTGTAGATGTCCTTGACAATAAGTGCTTTCCAGAAAATAAGTTCTTTCCAGAAATGGAAAGTGATCATGCATCAAAATCAGGGTTTAAATGGTTTTTCCTTCTGTTTATTTCTCTCTCCATTTCCACTAAAACAGCAAGCACTATGTTGCACTTCTGTATATGCTAAACATCATTATTAAATGCACACCCTCCCTAAGTTCCTCGAGAAGTAAATGGCATGAGTTATGTTAGCGCATTATCGGAGATGCAATCGATTGGCTAGGAAAGATACACAACGGATGACTGAGAAAGAGATTAGTTAAATCCTAACAGTAAGTGGGAATGATGAACTCCAGCAAAAGTGAATGATCCATAAACCCAAGAAAATTTAGATCGGAAAGTGTTGTGAAGGGAAAGAAAGGGATGAAGCGCGTAAAGTGCCCAATATACTCGACATTTTGTCAATTGCTTTGTCAAACATACAAACTTAAGCCGGTTACTGACGAGGGAAAATGCATGACCCAGAAGGACTAAGATGCTTTTTCCATTCTGACTGATAAAATCCAAAAGAAATTGATAGTTAATTCAACGCCATGGACTGTGATTCATAATTTAATGAACTACTTCAAAAATCCAATCTCACCAAGAGATTGCACAATTGATTAGCCAAACTTCCAGCCAATGACCATATGTGCTGTAGCGAGTACTTCCCGCATTCCATGTTCATTGAATATGGTTTGAATTTCAACCCTGTGGATGATCCTGGAACACGAATCTTTATTTAAATAAAGAGGAAAGGAAACACCCAAATAAAAACAACTGCAGATGCTTGGGTGTGCTAGAAATATCAAAAGGCGGTCCTTCACATCCGGTTGACAAATAAATATGATGCTCGCTGTGATATTCACTTACTACTAGAATTAGACATCCTAGTCATAAATTAAACAGGAAAAAAAATGGGCCAAAATGATATTAGAGATGTGGGGGGAAAGGAAGGGGGTTTTGGAGGCAGGTTCTGAGATGAAAATACAGCTCTTACGGAATGGGGGGAGGCTGAGGGGCAAGAGCAGGCTGGTAGGATTTCAAAAGGGATTGGTATGTTGTGCACAGTTTTGGGGTGTAGGATGGGCATGGTAGCAAGCTTCAGTTTTCAGATGGTCTGGTGTGAAGATAGGACGCTCCTATGCAGACTCCTGCTGGGATAATCACAGATTGGAATCTGAACCTAATGCTAAGGCCTCAAATTGTTTTGAGTAGGTGGCAGTTAGGATAGTGTGAATGGCCACACTTTATAAGGTCTGAGGGATGGGAAACTATCTACCCCCATTAAAAGTTGGAAGGCGAATAGGTAGACTTAGAACCTTTTTTCAAAAAAAAAAAAATTTCATGTCTTCGGATGAAGGCTCCAGCAATGGGATAGCCGAGGTCTATGTGTTGCAGAACATCGCACTCCAAAACCATTCCAATGGCCTGTGGAGCAGATATTTCTGAATCTGGAATTGAGAGATATGTCTTACAAGAAATGATTTTAAAAGAAAAGTAAAATGGAGCATAACTGCTCTTCCGGTTCGGTTCAAGACTCTTACATATGGATACAGCGAACCAAAATTGTTTACTTAACCGACTGAAAACAAAATAGGTGAGTGGTAACCATAAATACCAGAATTAGAAATAAAGCATAAATCACACACACATCCCCACCACAAGAACACAGGTTTATGCGATTGACCCCAAAGGCATTACATCCAAGGACATGGCAAACTGAAATCCATTAAACCGATATGAATTACATCATAGATTTTGGGGCATGGGGTTACTCTCTAATCCTCGACAAGACCCTATTGAGCAACCCTTTTAAAATCAACTCTCTAAACTGACATCACCCATCTCTATTTCATAGTTGAACTATTGTCCAGGAAGAAATACTTGATAGCAGCAACCAAGACTTTTTCCTTCTAAAAGGAGAAAACACCAAAAATCTCTAAAGGAACTGGTTCTCCACAAGAAACCATCCTCTCACTCGCCATGAGGCACTATCGCAGTGTTCGTCTTCCAAGAAAGCTCAATTTTCTCTATGTGGAGGCCTTGCCTCTCTATGCAAGAGATCACCGCCTCTCTCTCTCAAGAGGAAGCCACCTTCCTATATAGTGACCCCAATTCTTTTCCTCTCATTTCTTACATATATTGGGAATCTATAGCCAATAGAAACCTTCAATGGATTTCTAACTAACTAAGAAACTTATCAACATGAATATCAATCCCATATAACATAAGATTTCAAGATTTCCTTATGGTGGTGATCTTTGGATATCACCGTATCAACACTTCCAACTTAATATAGCTTTTAAAGATGCAGCATTTCAGCAAGAATGATTAGAAGGAACTATTGTGCAATACCTAGCAGGGATCCATGATATCTTCCACAAGTGTGATTAGAGCAAAATATTTTTCCCACGAGTCACAATACTTAAAATATTAGACGAAATGTCTCCATACTCTAAAACCTAATTCGTAACTGAGTAGGTAAAGGGCCTCATGGCTCTATTATTATTTTTCCCTAGTCATTTGGATAGAAAGAGTATATAGGATTATTTCATAATAGCCACACAAATTGCCTGAGACTTTAACATATTAAGGATTCCAAGATCATGACAGTCCATAGCATACGAACTTTTTGATGAATGCAAACTAGTAGGACATAGTGTCACAATTATATACATATGAATAAAATTGAGAGCATGACTAACAAGAATATGCGACAATTTCTCCTTCATGTTCGCGTTGGTCTGGATGGTGATGGCCAGAGAAAGGGCGTGTTTCAAAGACCTTTATAAGGCTCGCTACTTGTCACTGAAAAACATTGTAACTTTTCATAACTATGTATATGTATATGTTCCCGAATTCCATGTGAAATTTTGAAAATAAATATCATTAATTCATGTAAAACTTGGATCCTTTGTTGCCTAATATATTCCACTGCATGTTTCCAACAACAGGTACATATCGTCTTCCATCATCTTTTCTCCTTTTTTTTTTTAATTTCTTCGCTGTACTACTGTTAACAAAGAACAAAGAACTCAGATTTCTTCAGCAGGATGTGTGTAAAGCAGAATGCAACTATTCAAAATGTTTAGCCTCAAAATTCAAATCAAACCCTGGTAAAGTTTACTGTTTGAGGAACAATTGACTTTAAATCTTCACTAACTTGAAATATAAAGATGAAATTCTTTGGAATTTAATCTCCACGAATCACTATTTAGTTTCACTATTTTCACTTGAAGTGATGGATAGATATTTGGCTTGATTCTTGGCTGGCTAGCATCCTCTATTTGTTGAATAAGTCATGAGTAACAAAACACCCTACATGCACCAATAAGAGGGTAAGGACTCCGCATTTTTTTCAGATTGGAAGCAAAATCCCATCCCAATTTACAGACGTGCCTCTATTTATCCAATGTAATTTAACTGGTGAGAACATTACTTCATACAATTTACAAAACCAATGATTGATGGAAGTTTCTTGCCAAAACTAGATCACCTCACTTTTCTTTTTTTTCCTTTTACCAAATCTGCTGATACTTGGCATGGATCCCCCTAATGATAATTAATCAACAGTCAAATAATCAGTTTCAAATCCAATAATAATCACACGACTTTCAGTTGCGAATAAGTGGCTGCGTTGAACAAGAGAATTTTGAATCCTTTCTTGAATTTTCATATACAGTTTTTGTTAAATGAATTTCCAGGGTCTATGACAATCCCTATTTCACAAGGTTGAGCAGATGGTAACCATAACTTATCATATTAATTGAAACTTACACAAAGGGGTACCCAATACCCAAAACCGTGAAAATATTTGATAAATTAAGAAGAGGAAACAAGGAACAAATTCATTTATTAATCATCTCATCCAAGCCTCATCTCAATTATTTCGGGTTGGTAATATTTCATTTTCCTTCTTTTACCTACTTATCCCTAAATAAGTTTATGTTATCCTTTTTTAAATTCCACCACCTAGTTCTTTCACTCCTTTTCTTCTCTCTTTAGGCAGACATCCATAACCATGAGCCTTTGTTGCTTGGTCAAACTCTCTCCTGGGATAACCTTGCAGTCTTTATATTACGGCCGATCTACCTTCTTGACTAAAAAGAAGTTTATCTAGCTTCTATATTGTCTATTTTTATAAGTTATTAAATGATCATCTTGCTTTTTAAAGTACATATTTGCTATTGCTAGGTTGTAGGCCAAAGCAAAATCCAGAATAGCTTCACCGATCTCATTTATTTCCCAAAAACCATATCTCCCATGTACCCCCTTCATATCCTTTACTATATTTTCCTACATGACCAGTTAAGTCCCCTCCTAAAAAGGTCATCTTTCCATTTGGTATTTCTTGGACTAGTCCATCTATGTCCTCTCATAATTGTCTCTTAATTCTATCCTCTAGTCCTACCTGTGGTGCATAAGCACTAATTACATAATTATCTCCTCCCTTAACATGAGTTTGATTAATAGGAGCCTATCACCTACTCTCTTAACATTAATTACTTTATCTTTTAAATATTTATTTACTATTATGCCTACGCCATTTCTATTATTATCTTTGTCAAAGTTTATATCAATCAATTTCCTTAGTTTTTTCCCGTTTCGACTTAGTTTCCTGTAGACAAGCTATGTTCTCTTCCGTGTCTCATTGTATCCACTAATTCCATCCTCTTACCTGTTAGTGTTCCTACATTCCATGTAGCTAGACGGATCCTACCCTCTTGGACTAACTTATTTACCCGCACTCGTCCAAAATGATGCGAGAACCCTTGCCTACTTATCATCGTATCTAGGCATTGTTGCAGTGCGTCACTTCAAGGGAATTCTCTAGCTAACCCTTGCTCATTTCTCACTGCACCCGGGTAGCAGTACAGTGTGTCACTTCGGGGGAATGCCTTAGCTAATCCTTGCTTATTTCTCACTGCACCTAGGTGGTGCTGCATGTCACGTAAGGGGAACGCCCTAGCATGAGCACACAACATAGGTTCAGGATTGATGATAAGATGTGGCAAAATTTTTATGTTGGCTGCCTACCTAATGCAAGCCACCTCTTTTACCAGAGCCTGGGATGAGTTAAGGGAAAGTTTATGGCCGCACCTTATTAGACCAATATATTCTAAAATATATAAAATATAAAATTATTGAAGAAGGAACATATTTAACATAGAAATCCAACTAAAAAAAAAAAAATCCATAACATAATTTCAATCAAATTATAATTTTAAAACCGAAAAATCCAAGCTATAAAGTTCTTTTATTACTACAACATAAATTAATTGGTGTCTAGAGCTCACATAAGCAATTAAAACAGGTCCATAGGAATGGCTACCCTTAGTATAGGATTACATACACAGGCTGCTCATCAGAAGTAGAACTAACAGACAAGTAAAAGAAAGGACTATCAAGGCGTATGGTCAAAATTTTGATATTTATAGGAATTATGTGAGTTTGATAAGCAACTGCCTTGGTGACTGCTCAGAAATTTCAGTGAGATACATCAATGAATCGAGTCAGGAGACGAACAATGCATGCAGCAAGAGAGGATTTCGGTGTTTCATTAACATGAACAGTTAGACACATAGAACAATAATAGGGGAAAATGAGAAGTTCCCCAATTTAAAAATGGAAAAAAAAGAAGAGTAAAGGTTTATTTTATGATTGTATTGAAATGTAAAAATTTAAACACAAATGTAAGTTTCAGAATAAGACCCAGAGGATTATTTGCAAAGCTCAATATACAAGTTGAGATATTGGGAGGTTCTCTTTAGGACCCAAAATCTGAACTCTTCCATACCACAGGGCAAAATCTTAACAAGTTTAAATTCGTGAGCTTCATACAAGGCAAATTTCAACTCCTCCACACCCTTGAAAGCAACCACAGGCATTCACATCGCTGAAAGGACCACTAATAATCATCCCCAAAATTATCACATGCTCTCAAGAATTGCAAAGAACGTAAGTTTCATTGAAGTAGGGTGGCACCTTTGTTATCCCGCACATTAAGGAAGTTAAAAAATGTGTGCATCTGGCCTCTGTTCTTCACAAATCCCTCTATTGCTATTAACTAGTACAAGCTTTGCAATCGGTTTTTTTTTAAAAATAAATTGTGGGTTAGTTAGATCTGCACTAATTAAAAATCACATCATTGTTTGGCTTCTCAGAACATATCTCACTATACAAGGGTTCTTTTTTATATCAAGGAGAAGTCATGGCACCCCGCTAATTCAAAGAAATTCAGGGTACTTTGGTTAGTTCCTCAAATGTGAGTAGAGATCTCATCACACTGTTATGTCGGCAAATACTGTCAGCATACATGCCTTTCAAGTTTCCTTAACAGAAGCCTCAGGTTGAAAATGGGCACCTAAAAAACTCGCTTCAGATATGCCCTTCCATTAAAGTTATTCTGGACAACTTTTCCAAAAACATAGAGAAACCAGAGATGTACCATAGTCACAATTTACATCCTAAGTTAGATCATTTTCATTGATAACTTGAAAGGGTTGTTGGTGGAGGTTAAGAAAGTCCTAATGGCTATTTCATAATTATATTTTTGCAAATACCTCTTACTTCAGGTCTTCTCCTCGTAATGTTGTCATAGGCAGTTAACTACACTGAGAATATGGTTGTTCACACAGAATGGAGCACAAGCCAGGAGATTGCCTCTCTGTCTTTAAAGAATGGAGGATATGACATGTTACATAGTCAGATTTGGCAATCATCTTGCATGCTACCATGGTATCAGAAAGAATTATATACTGCATCTTAAATGCCGTTAGAAATGACAATATAAAAAACAAAACTTGGCTTTCGTTGATCATTTCTTATCTTGCAAGGCTGCACAATCAATTGACATCAACAGAAATAATATAACAAAATAGCTGATTCGTGATAAAAACTTACTACAACAGCAACAGACAACATCAATTTCCCTTCAAGGACAAAACATTCAATTAGCAGAAGGAGAATTAGACCAATCAGGTGCCCTACGCTTCCTATTGTTGAGTATTGCCTCCAAGGCCAGAGGCAGCCCATCATCATTTCCTTTGAAATTCAGTAGCCCATTATCATCTCCTTTTGAGTTCCATCTGCTGGAGCAGGATTCCAAGGCATCATTAGCAGAGTCCTCGGGAGGAAACAAATGGATCGCAGCACCTCTTTGCCATGATGGAGAGTTGTCAAAGATTCTCAGTCCTGATGTGCACGATGAAAGATTGGGGTCCTTGCTTCGTTCTTGAGAATCATCAGCTGGCCCTCTATCATCACCTTCCATGTCTACTAAAGACGGTCCCAAACGTAGTGAAAGGTCGTAATAATCACCACTAGTACCTCCTCCAACTGATGGTGGGTTCTCAGAAGAAGCTCCATCTCGATTGGCTTTGGTAGGAGAGGAACAATCTCCCTCGTCATCAACGTCATCATCATTTCCCCTGCATCTGAGTAGGTCACTTGTTGATGACTTTAGTAATTCTAGTTCCAAAGCCTCTGATGATTGATGATGAGATGTGTTTGGAATACGGTTGGCATCTTGGAAGGGATACAAGGCTTGTAAAATTGGAGGTGAAGGTTGAGGTGGAGGGGTAAGTCCAAAATACAAGGGAAACAGAGGGGGAGCGGTCGAGGTATTCATCTCATGCAAATGAGTTTCTTCATACATTGTTGTGAGGGGGCATCCCAAAGAAGAAGAGATGGGTGCGTTTACGTAAGTGTGCTCATAAAAGGATTCAGGAGCCAAATGGGTGGTAGTGCTTAAGGAGGAGGAGGTGGAGGTGGAGGAGGAGGAGGAGGAGTAAAACTGCTGCTGAGGCTGTGGGTGGTTGATGTGGGTGGGTTGATTGGTGTGAAGGGGGAGCAAAGAGGCATCATAATTTTTCTCATTGCCACTAACAATAATTATTGGGGAAACAATAGAGGTGGTGGTGTTGGTGGTTGTGCTATCCAAAACTCGTAGTCGGGGGGCTCCAGAGGTAGTTGTTAAATAGCATCTTGAATTATTATTACTACTACTATTAATTTGACGCTGTGAATGCTGCTGGCTGCGTGAGGTTCTTCTAGGAGTGCAACCCAAGTTAAGGGCAGCTGAAGTGGAAACCACAACCACATTAACAAAAAAACAAAAGAAAGAAGTGGGAAATGGGGGCAAATAACTTACCAATCAAGCAAATAAATCGACTCTCTGCCTGCCTGCCCCTACTACTGTTATTTACTATGGCACCAACCAGAACCACTTCCCCACCAAAAGATGAAAATAAAAATAAAGATAGAAAAAAGGAAAGACAAGAAAGCAACCACCAACCAATGTACATTGCCCGAACAAAAACTGTATAGCAGTAGAAGAAGCACTACCAGAGGATTTGTAGCATAGAAATATTAAATGACCGCTTACTTGGAAACCAATGGTAAATAGAAGAAGAAGGATTCAAGTTATGTACAATTCAAAAATCACAGGCAGGACTGACCTTCGATACACGGCTGCAAAAGATTCCCCGTCTCGGTGCTCTCGTCCCTCCGAATCATGGTGTTCACTGCATCATTCATCCTCTCCCACAGAGTCTTAGGATCCATATACTCAGCCTAAATAGTCACAGTCCAAGCTGAACAATAAATACTAAGAAATAACGTGAACCCAATTAGGACAGAAGGGAGGGGGCTTCCTCACACCCCCACGCCCACCCACCCCCAACAAAAACAAAAACAAAAGGAAAGAGGAGGAGGAGAACGGGATCACCTCAGAATTGGCTTTGGAATACATGATTTCCTCTGCTTTCAAAACAACGACGGGGAGCTTCTCCTGCCACTCCTTGTTCTTCCTGGTGGAGGAACTGTGACACTCATTCACAACCCTAATAATAAATAATGCACCATGACACACATACAATTGAGTTAACCAAGCCAAATGGAGTGAATGGAGAAGGAAATTGGAGAGAGAGACGAAGTGGGTACAACAAAATATATATATATATGGAGAGAGAACCTGAAAATTTCTTGGATGAGAGAACCTCTCATGGGTTGGTGCCTATCGCTGTGCCACGCCCTCCTCACGCACTCGTAAGGCCTGGGACCTGGCCGAGGCATCCTTCTCTCTCTTCCTTTAAAAGATATAGAAAGGTAGAGAGAGAGAGAGAGATTCAGATTTGAGAGAGTGGAAGGGTCACAGTAGGAGGTAAGAGAGTTTATTAGGAGAAGAGTAGAGAGTTCATAAGACTGTGGAGCAGAGAGTGGGGAGTGAGAGAAGTAATAAACAAATGGGGGGAGGGGGAGGGGGGAGGGGGAGGGGGAGGGGGATGGTAAGTAAGATAAGAGAGAAGCAGAACAAATGGAAATTATTATTATTATTATTTTGGGGGAGAGGAAAGAAAGATTAGAGTTAGCATAGTGTCCCCCACATGATTCCAAGAAGCCATCTGCAATTCTTCACAGGCCCTCCTCTCTCTCTTCTCTCATTAAATATACAGGCCCCACTTTTCTCTCTCCCTCTCATTATAAATTGTAATGGGTTCAGTTTATAAGCACGGGAGGGTGCATTTTATATAAGGTGGTAATTGCAACATCACTTGTATCGGTAAAGTTGTGACACCATTTACCCTAACTGAACACCATAAATTTGACATATGTTTTAAGACGATGTCAAAATGGCAAGATAATATCAAATTTATATTATTCAAATAAAATAAACTGTATAGTTTATTGCACTTACTTCTTTGTAACCCTATATAAAAGAATTTCAAATGGTAAATAGCATGAAATTTTGGTAAGGCTGCAGCTTTGTAAATTTTGGCATTGCTTCACTTCAAGTTGATGCTGCAAAAAACAGATCCAGTGACGGAAAGACCTACGTCAGCCTCCAAATCTACTTTTCCTCGTTATTATATAATTTTGAAGATCCAAAAATTATGCAGACCTAACTAGAGTGGAGAATATGTAAAGTGGCTATTCAAAGAAAATGTTGCAAGATCAACTATTTTTTTACGTTTTTTAATTTTTTTTGTTTTTTTAAAATTCATGATTATTCAGACCGAAATAATCGATTTACATTTTTTTTTTTAATTTTACAGTGAAATTAGATATTTAGCTGTATAAAGCTGTGGCTGTACTACTTTTCCATGTACAATATAATATAAATATAAATTTTTGTGCGCATCAGGCCAAAGGTGGAGGGGACATAAAAATGTGTCTTCCTTATGAACTGCTCCCCTCTCATCTTCAAGAAGAAAAAGTAGTTGTCCTCTCTTATACAATTTCCAATTTCCCTTGTTCACCTCGTTTCTACTTCCATTCTCACCCAAAAATGGGGGTTGTGCCCTAGATCCATTCCTAATTAAAATTGGACTTCATATATCTTAACCCCTAACCCATAAAGTTTGTATCATAGTAGGGCTTAGGTTGAGTCCACCTCACATGGAAGTATCTTATCAGAAGCCACAAACTGGGATGCGAACCCAGCCATTAGTCGGGTTTGAGTGACTGGAAACTGGTCCAGGTAACGGGCCCTCTCCCGGCTTGGTTAAAAAATTTTTACAAAATATCAAAAAAATTCCCAGAAAAATAAATAAGTATGTTTAAAGTAATAAAAAAAATAGATATTTAAGAAATAATCTAAAAAACGATAGAAAAATATAAAAAGTAAAAAGTTTACATAAGGTCTCAACCTTATAGGTAAGGTGCACTTCAATATTTTCAAGTATTTATAGATATGTTTGATCGTCACCATTTCTGAAACTTTAAATTTCATAATTATCGGCGACAATAGATTTTTATATCATTGCAATGCTTTGTGGCACCAAAATTGCATTTTTGGCATAGTTTTGAGGCCCACCGTACTTCAATAATATAATTTGACACCTTATACCAACCTCACCCATATAAAAATAGGTATTTATAGCCAAAATACTTCTCAATATTTTTCAAAACAATAGAATGTATATATAAACTATACAAATATTTTTCAAAACAATAGAATATATATATAAACATATATAAACTATACAAATAAATTTATTTTTTTAAAAAAAATATATTTTTTATTTTTTATTTTTACAGTTGACCGCCATGGCTAAAACCGGCCACAGCCAATGACCGGTTTTGAGTAAACAAGCCGAATTTAGGTCAAACGAGCCAGTTTGCGAGCAAAGCTCATGGTCGGTGCCACAAAACTCAGGGATAAAGGATAGTTTTTTGGAAACACATACTGGATTAGTCACCCTTGGCTAAAGAACCGGATGAATAGATGATCCAACAAAATGATGAATGAAAGAAAATATCAAATGTGGGAAGGGCCGTAGTTGTAGCACCCCCCATGCCTTAGTCAAATTTTGGTTTTTATTCTTGCTAACACCACGTCACTAATATTTTCGAAAAACCAATGCCCAAACTATTTGAAAAACTGGATAGAGGCTGTTTTTCCTACAAAATTACCCCCCCAAAAAAAAAAAACCAACCCAAATTTAAGGATAAAAAGAATTGCATAAAGCAATATATCAACTTTTTCTCAAATTGAATTATAAAAAAAAATTAGTCTTTTATATAAAAATATTTCATAAATCACAAGGCAAGGAGGCTAGGGCCGATTTCGGTGACAGACCGGATAACCCCCATCCGAGGAGTCATTTTTTACAACACTAATGACACGCATGAAATATTCCAGTAGGTGATGTGATGGGGTCTACTATTAGTCCCAACTCTTAACCAATTTTTCCGTGGATAACTATGTTTTCTCTTTGACAAATGATAGAAATTTTTGCCAATAGTCAACCGATTTTGCTTGGAGAATTACGTTTTCTACCAATGATAGAAATTGCCCTCGATGAAAACAAACTTTGTGCAGAGATTCATTGAAGACCATTTGTTTTTTAATTGGCCTCCTAAGATTCTGTAATGTTCATTGCAATGCTTAAAAAAAGTCGTTAATAAAATTTCCCAGCCAAATGGGACACGGCAAACTCAGATCATTAGATGAACGAGTCGACACTCGGTTCTTGTTTTTTAAAACACTGTTTTGTTATGCATGGTAAGAAAGAAACCTAAAGGTTTATTTTATTTTTTTTGTTCTTCTTTTGGAAGGGGGTGGGGGAGGGGTTCCTGTCTCCAAAAATTGCAAGCCACAGTAGTTCTAAGGTTAGGGAACCATGCTTCTAGATATCCTTTTCTTGAAGTCATTGGGAAAAGTAAGCTATAAGATACACCATACATAAATATGTCAACCTCTATACATTGTGATTTGAGTTCCTTTTATCTCTGAGGTTGGTTGCTCGGTTGAGGAGGTTACATCCCCAAATTTGACTTCAACTACTATTGGAGACTTTTTACCTAACATTGATCTAGAGTGGCTTATATATGATTTATCTTATTAGCGTATTTGGATGTACTCATTATCACTAATAATTCACTGTTTCAATAAAATTAATCTTGATATTGAATTATGTATTGTTTGGCAGTGCCTGTTATAAAGTTATCTTAGATGGACTTATAGGCAAGGTTACATAGAATTTTATCTTTTCCAAAAGTTGTTTTTACCTTAGTCAAAGCATTTTACTATTTTAGTCAAAAATAGCTAAAAAATGTAAAAAATATTAGAAAAAGTTAAACAGTTAGATAATATTATACAATACCAGGTTTCTTTTTTTTTAGTTATTTATTTTTTATAAGTTAGTGGGGATTGGGGGCCCTACCCATTTTTTATTGATAATAATAGACAAGTACCAAGTAGCTAATAAAATATTATTATCTAAAGTGTATTAATTTTAGAGATAAGGTAATCTGCTCCAGACAAAATTAATTATCACATATGGGCCCTAGAGCTAGATAGCACTTATAAATATCTAATACGATTTGCACTATGAGATAGCTGACTTTTAATGGCCATAAAGGAACAAATGATAGCTCTCAACGTCTATTACCCAATAAAAAAACTGGTTTTAGATTCTTGGATGCCTCTAATATCTATTGAAAGTGAGGGCTTCTTCCCTGTCAATTAGTTACCCTAAAATCAGGTGTTAACAAATTCAGACAATTTTAGGGAGGGGGATAGGATCAATCAAAATGCTTTTAATGATAAAGCCAGTTCCCCTTAAAGGCAAGCATTTCAAAAGATGTTACATTTTATAGCCACTTGTTTATTTCCCATTTTAGTGACCTTCTCAACCAATCATAAAGGGGGGCTTCAACTCCCTTTACTTAAATTCCACCCTTTCTTTTTTTGCTCAAGATGTTGGTGAGACAAAAAGTTGGAAAATTCTTGCATTATTAATGGAAGAAATTGCGGTTTTATCCATAATTCATCTTTAACCAAGCTATATATTATTCATCCTACCCGGGCCAAAGGATGTCCATAACTGGGCCAAAGCAATCCATGGACTTCAATATCTCGCATCAAGGAGTTATAAATTACCAGATGGAGCATTTGATGCATTCCATCTCTAGATTAAAACTCTTATCTACAAACATTTTTAGGACACTAGATTTTGAAGATGTTACCCCTTAAACCCAGCCACTGGCATGAAAGAAAAAAATAAAATAAAATAAAATAAAATGATAAGCACTTCATGCATATGTGTCTAAAATAGTAATTTCTTAAGATTGAGCAGAGATTGTCCAATTTTGAAAAGGCCAAATCTATGTGCTTAGCAGTTCAATCTCAATTTTTCTTCAAGTGCTCATGTTCTGATGATTTTAAAGCATATCCCCAAATTTTATAGGAAAGAATCCTCTTAAGCAGTTTTTTACCCAAGGGAGTAAGTGTATAGTATGCTCCTGTGGGAGTACTCTTGAAGGACTCAAGCAACTTTTATTTTGCGCTAGTTCATCTCGATCAAAGATAGGATGAGGTTGTTGTCTTCTGATAAATGCCATGTTGAAAAACATGTTCCACCTGCCATTTGATCTTTGGTGCCCTGTGTCTATTGAACTTTGCTGAAGAATGGTTGCCATTTTTTTGAATTTCTGAAGTTTTCGATGTGCTATATATTGTCATTTGTCATTATTATCTAAGGGTCTTTGGATTATAGAACCTGATTTGATGCTTGTGAGGGTCTATGTAACAATGGCCCTTGTATGAGGCTGGTTAGTGTTTCGAAGAATTCCAGACCTGGGTCTCAGTCCAAACTCATTGTGCTTTGCCACAATGCCACCTCTTTATGCGACTAGGAATAGAAGATCCTTCATTTAGAAAAACCAATGGTGATCAGGTGCTGTTTTAGATGACGACAAATGAACGCTTTTTGATGATCAAGTGTTGTTCTAGTAATCAGGCTTGGCTTATTATTTTGCGAGCCATTCACTTTGTCAAAGAAGTTTAAGTAGATAGTTTAGTGCTTTTGCAAGTCGGTGGTGCCTCAATGGGTATAAGATATCTGTTGTGTCTAGATATTGCTTGGAAATATCTTTGATGATCATAGAGAAGCTCATAATGTGCCATACTTACCGATAAATTTGCTAAGTTTTTGTTTGGTGTTCACAATTCCATGAGATCTGTGGCCAACTTCTCACTGTGATGCCCAAGAGCCTCTTCTCTCTCTTCCTCTTCAATTCCATACAACACCATGCATGTTTCTTCCAAATATCCATCTCCCAACCTGATGAGTGATTTATTTATTCCCATGGTATACAAGGTTGTATAATTTGCTTGTAGATGATTTCGAGTAGATGCATGGCATGAACTAATCTTGTTTCAGACTTTAAAAAACAAATGACAATGATCAATTAACATGTTTATTTTCTTTATGTTCCTCATATGCTCGTGAATGTCTTGCTGATTCTTTTAGATATATTTATCTCTTTGGTGCAATGCATGACATATATCACAATCCCCTCATATGTTTAGCTAATTGTGTTGAGCTCAATCTATTAGGTATGGATAATGCAAGGCAATCAAAAGGTAAAGGGCAGAAATTAAAATGGACATCCGTGATGGAAACTACCATGTTAGAATTGCTTGTTGAGCAAGTTCTCTTATGTAAGAAGCCAGAAGGGATTTCAAGAACATGCAATGGCTTAACAGAGAGAAAACTTTTTTACCAAACTTGGAACGCCCCTAAAAAGGGATGCTTTCAAAAACAAATTGAGAACAATGAAAGCACACTACAAGACAGTATGTGATTTAAAGAATGAAAGCAGTATGGGATGGAACGAGGCAAAGCAACTGTTTGATGCTGATAGTGCAGTTTGGAATGATATGTGTAAGGTATGTATCTTTCTTGTTTTCTATTTTATCATTTGATATACCATGCCGGGTCACTTCAATTTGTGCATAATACTCCTGCTCAAACATCAACATGCACATCTATTTCAAGACAAAGCCTATAAATAATTGTTAATAATGATAGGGCTGATGGGGATGAGGCCAAGACAGCGGCCATGCTAGAAGCAGATAATGAGGAAGCCAATGAAGAGGGTCAGGGTGACACAGGGACTGTGGATTTGGACGTTGATGTCGAAGATGATGTGGAAGTATTGGAGACACCTATACAGTTAAGAACAACCAGAATGAATACTACAACCGCGGCTAGACCATCATCTTGTAGACCGTCAAAGAAGAAAAAGATAAATTTTTTTTTAAACCGTTGGCTCAGTTGCAGAGGCTTTAGCATCAATTGGGGGAGCAATTCAGTTGGCGAGGGATCCAACAAATCCTCATATGCAGGCTATATTAGATGCTCTTTCTCAGATTGAAGGCCTCGATCAAAAGCTCTTTCTACGAGCATATAAGGAGCTCACATGCACCATCAATGATAGTGTGTGCTTCTTGAAATTGTCTCCGCCCGATCAAGCTCTTTTTTTCAACCTTAGGTTTGAGGAATGTAGTTAGAATTTTGGGAACTTTAAACATGGATATTTATACAATGTACGTGTCTTAAAGACTCTCTTTCTTTCTCTCTCAACCATAATGAATAGTAATATAAGTGGAATATCAGCCATCAGATCCTCATTATGTAGTTCATATTTTTTCTAGAAATTGGATCATAATGAAATTTTAGATATATGTACTAAAAAATAGGGCACACGATTAAAAAATATTTACCAAAATATAAAATAATCGAAACACCCCTGAAAAATAAAGGGGGTAATTTGGTCATTTTAAATTATTGAAAATAACCTTTTCATATTTTTATATGATGCGCAATAGCGTTAGGTATATACACCCAAAATTTCATCTCAATCAAATTTATAGAAGAAAATTAAAATTAAAATATTGGGATTGAGATGGGTCAACAATTCTCCCTTTTTCCACTTTCCCATATTAACAAAAGACCAATTTCATTGGTGGGATTGAAGTGAGGCTTTGTTTTGTTTTCATGAAGCCTTAGAAACCTCATCCTACAAGTAATTTACCCTTTTGGTCGAACGATACACGAAAGAGATGCCATGGGACAGTCACTCACACGGGCATCCCTCGTGGATAGTTCACTTGGAAATTATTATGGATATAATGCTTTTGCAATATATTGATATGAAAGCATAGAAGAAAGGTATACACGGTTCAAACACACACACCGTAGGGTCTTCACTAACAGGCGAAGTTGGTTCTATTCTATTCATTTCTCTAGAGAAAGAGAGAGGGATCACACACATTGAAGTACGTCCTCCATTTCACAATCCAAAATAAAAAAAGAGGGAAGTATTTCAGTCGAGCATGATAGAATGATATCCATATCCCAGTCCAGATGCCATGAGACGTTGCTGCTCGAGCTGTTGTCACAATTACAAAGTAACGTTAAACTTCTCTCTACTTTTATTACTCATCCATAATAACAAGAGAGAGATAAGGTAGTTCTAGCGATTGCTCAAGGAAATGTCATACTTGGAATAGCTCATGGAGCTTGCTCTTTAGTAAGCACTGCTCGTATTCGAGTTGCTCCAGCGAATTTATGCACCTGCAAATTGAAGAAGCCGTTAGAGAGAGAGGGTGCTTAGAGAGAGAGTGTGTGCGTTTAGTTACCCAGCTCTGTTGCTCCTTTCGGAGAAGGTGCGCAAGGCAACACAGACGTTTCTAACTCGATTTGCACCAATGCTGGAGCTGCTACCCATCAGCCGGTTCAAATGGGTTCCCATCTTCTTGTAGTCCGTACACTCTCTCTCCAAACTGTTGTTGACATAGTAATTTGGAATGAATGAATGAACCAACCTGAGCAGTGGAGAGTAAATTTGAAGAGAGAGAGAGAGAGAAAGAAAGATATACAGGAGGGCACGCAGAGTCGTGAGGAGCTTCTCAGACTCTCTAAAGTAAATGGAGACGACTTCAACGACAAAGTTGGGGGAATCGTGGTCTTGCAAGCGCTGCAGCTGCGAGAAATGGTCGTCCAACACTCCCTGTGTTTTCATATCCATTAGCAGGAGAGGAGCAGATACGTGGTGAAGCAAGCATCAGAAGCAGTACCTGATGAAAGAGTGAGGAGAGGAGGCGATGCATGTCGTCCTCCAATTGAGTGGCCCCCAGTCCCAGCATCCGCACTGAGAGCCCCGTCTTTACTCACTTTTTTCTCCCCCAAATATTTGTTACCTCAAATTTCCACTCTATCTATCTCATATGTCA